TCAATACTGGGTATTTCATGAAAGGATTTTATAGCAATCTGAATGCAATCTTTTTCAAGAGTTGAGCCACATGGCTAGAAATGTCATCATGATTTTAGAATTCAAATATTTGTCTTCAAAATTCCAGGGACACTATGAATGATTGATGATCATAATTTTCTTAAATCTCAATCAGTTCTTGAAAATGAGCCATATTGATAGGCCTGAAGTGTGATTATTTAGACACACCCTAAGGGATGTACTCCTTAGGAAAAGAGATGATGCCTGTGACTCATTCCTGAAGTAGTGACTCCATTATCAGCAAAATTCTTCAAAAGTTGTGATTCCATTTAACTCAGCAAAAGTCAGTCCAGACTGAAGGTTCCATCTGCATAATCTGTTCAAATTTTGACATTTTCTTGAATCTATTACTTTCCTTCTGTGCAGTTTTAAGTTCAGCATGTTAAAAAGTCACGTAACATCAATAAAAAGGTCCCATCTTGTAAATCACTTATTGTCCCACTACCCGTGTCTGTCAGAATCTTTTAAGGCCCCAAAGTTGTTCAACTGAGGACACAGCTTAGAAAATCTTTCTACTCTACTTCAATTTCTTCTAAATATTGCATAAAGCAGAGATGATGAAAGGCTCATGAGTGAAGGAAAAAAGGAAGCCTTGTTTCCTTCACCCTGGATTCGTCTTACGAAGTTCACAGTAAAAGTTTCACTGATATCTGCAAGCCAATCACATACAAGGTAATGAGGTATTTATGGGCAACAAAAATGGCACTGCCTGTGAATCTGTAACTGTTTTAAAATACAAAGTTATAAAGTGGGTCACCCTTCCCAGGAGGAGAGTAGGTATGGCGCGCCTAGTGACTTGATGAGTTCTTCAGTCCAAGGATCTCTAATACTATGTGGAAAAAAATTTTTAAAAATAAACAACCAAAAGAGCCCTTCAATTCATTTTCCCCTCTTGCTTACTCTCACTGCCCTCAAAGCTTTATCCTCATTAATGACTTGATGAGACAAATAGATAGTGTTTCTGGAAAAGTCCAGGATTTTCAGTATAGTAAAAAGTTGGTTCAATTATCATTTTCTGTTTTCTGGCACTTCAATACATCTATAATAGAGAGTCACTGGTGTTTATCAGGACATTTAGAAACTTTCTGAATGTCCAGAGAAAAGTTATGTTGAACAGGATCTCAATGTTGAAGTTTGGTTTAACTCAAATTTTCTCATATATTGAAATTCTGAAATCCAGCATGGACACTAGTATACTGTCCTAAATTTAATAACTATTGATTTTTGCCATATTTTTTTTCTCTCTCTCTCTCCCTATACGTGCACACACATACACACACTCACACTTTTCATTGTGAACTATCTGAACGTAAGTTTCAGACATTAATGATGTTGCTCGATATGTATTTTAATGTATTCTAATTCTAGAAATTGTAGTTGTCTATAGATAAAGAATATGGTATTATATCCACATATAAAATATATGGTAATTTTAAATATTTTTATTATAATTACATGTTAAGTTCCCACAAGGATATTTTATTAGCCAAAATACCCAACTGTCTGAACATAACAAGCTACTTTATGTTTATTATCAGTATTAATTCTGTCCTGTACTTGACAACCAATGGAATGTGGATTTCCCCATAAGAGTAGATGCTTTAGTCTATCTTCCTATGGATAAATTAGAGTCTTTGTCTATCACTCAGACATATGAGTGCTTAATGGATTGTTAATGACAATCAGGGTGTTTTATAGGGGGAATAAGTCCCTTATTGCCAAGGTAAACTAAATCCTTCCTAAAATATTAAGCTATGAGAAAGGAACATAATATTGCCACAAAATAAAATTTGGGTAAACTGTCCTGAAACAGCTTTTAAAGAGATCCTGGGGAAGAGGATTATTGTTATCAAATAATTAACTTGTTGAAGAGATAGGGAACTTTTCTTGGACTTAAAAACATTTATATATGAATCTAATCACCTATAAAATGGATAGGTTTTCTTATGTTTATTAGTTTCTTGAATGTGATAAAAGTTTTATTCAACTTCAGATAGATTATTGAGTGGAATATTTTGAAATTCACCTTAGAGGTCCTCTTTTATTGATAGGATTTTGGATGGAATTGTGTTCCCCCCTCCAAGATATGTTGAAGTACTAACCCCCTAGTCCTTAAAAATGTGACTTTATCTGGGAATTAGTTGCTGTAAATATAGGTAGTTAATTTAAGATGAGGTCATACTGGAGTAGGGTGGGCCCCTAATCCAATAGAACTGGTGTCCTTATATGAAGAGGGAAATGTGAACACAGACATGCAGAGAGGGAAGATGATATGAAGACATGCAGGGAGAAGACTGCCATGTGACAATGAAGACAGAGATTAGAGTGATGCAATGACAAGTCAAGGAACATCAAGTATTGCTGATGGTCACCAGAAGCTAGGAGAGAGGCATGGAACAAATTCTCCATCAGTGCCCTCAGGAGGAATCAACCTTGCCGTCCCATCCCCTTGATTTCAGACTTCTAGACTTCAAAACTGTAAAAGAATAAATTTTAATTGTTCTAAGCTATCCAGTTTATGGCAGTTTATTACATCAGCCCTATGAAATTCTTACAGATAGTTGATAGATGATAGACAGACAGACAGATGTAGACAGATAATCTTTCAAACCTCTTAAGTTTGGGTCTAATCATAAAATGAGGACCCAAGGAATTATCCAATGAAGTGGTATAGTAGCCCCAAAGTTGTTAGTTGAACCACATAAAATTGTCATTTTTTATAGGTCAAGAATAGTTTAATAGATGCAGTTTTATGTGGCTCAATCTAATAAATAGATTACACAGATCATTCAAGTTTTCTGAAGCTCACCTTCCCCATCAAGAGCAGATCTTTAACCGAATTTGCTAGAAGAATACTTTGTTTCCCCTGCATCACTTTTCCTCCATAAATAGATTCTTAGTCTTAAAATAAGATCCTAGGCTTCATTCATTTCATTTGGATAAGGAAGTTCTGTCTTCATGACCTATATAGAATTAAACACTGGAGGCAATTTCTCTTTGAGGTTTTGCCTGCTATTCCTCTTGTTTATACATCTCCGGGCACGGTTGATTCTAGGAGACAATGCTGGGAATTCCATCTACGTTAAAAACTGAGGTTTCTCCAGGGGATTTCTCTCATTCCATTTGGTACAACAGTAACTGTGTTTAACAATATCTGCCTTACTGCATCGCTCTGCAGTTCCATCTGACACTTGGTTCCCGTCCACATTTTCTTCATGCCTGTCTTCTGAAGATGTTTCCACAACAGAGGTGGAGGAGAGAAGACAGGGAGGGCAAATCAGAGCTTTACGTTCTCAATGAATAAAAGTCATGAACCCACCAAGTGTCTTCACTTCTCTCTTATTCCAATTCATCCAAAGATTTTTGACATAAACAAATATTCTCTAAACCAGCCCTTTGTCCTTTGGGATTCTGAGCATTCACAAGTCATTTCTGAATACTCATTTTCCTAGATGTTTATACAGCTAGTGCCTTTCAAAGTTTCCTCAACTATGAAAATAAAATAACCACACACAAATTTTACTGACAATTTTTTAACCAGCAAGAAATGATACAACCAAGTCCAAAAACATCTCTTGTGTCACTGCTGCTAAAGCATGCCAATATATTTTCATAAAAAGCAGATGTTTAACAGGAAATTCTATTCCATGAAATTTTAATAATCCTTAGTTCAAATACATTTTATGACTATAAGAAATTGATTTAAGAGAAAACTCCAAAGCTTATCAATCAAAAGCTGCCTCTACATTCTGGAATCATTGGCTACACCAAATAGGAAATCCAGAATAAAGACCTTATTAGGAGCAATTGCCATTTAAACTATTACCTTCTTCAGTTATACTGTTCTTGTTACTTGAATGGCCTTAAATTCTAACAGATTGTTTGAAAATGTCATTCTACTTGACTGAAAACATTGTGCCATTATTCTCTTTTTCATTATATGAGAGTCTAAAATTTCCCTGTGCCAGACAATACATAAACAGTTGGTGATATTAAGCTGACTTTAGGAAAAAAAAATCCCCTGGCCTCAAAGAGGTATTATTTGACTTCAAAAGTAACAGTATGTCTCTCCTCAGCATATGTTACATCTGGGTTTTCAGAAATATATATATTTCACATATTTGTTCACATAAAATTTGGGAAAGGAAGAATTTGCTATAAAAGAATATGTTGTCTTTTTGTGGTTTTACAAGGGGAAATTACCTAAGGACAGAAAGTATAAGTAGGGCATTACAATGACAAATATTCTCTGGGGCACAGGGAGTATAAAAATGCCAGTATTACATGCTGGCATTTGTATTCTGAACTCTCACCTTAGCACTTCTTACTTATTGGAGATGAGCCTAAGTAACTTTTGCCCCCTCAGCTCACCTACAAGATTAGGGCAAAAAAAAAAAAAAAATCCGAAAACAAAATCCTTCCTTCTTGTTCAAATATGAACTTCTTTGATGAGCAGGTTCAGTCCCAGATACATTAGCATTTGCCTGGTTGTACTTTACTGAAGTAAACCCACCATTTGAAAATCAAGTTAGAAGCTGATGACTTCTTTAACAAATGCATCTATTTGTGTTTCATTTAGGTATTTTTAAATAGCAACCTTTTCTAGTATATTAAATTGTGATTGGAGATTATATAAATGTACATATCTATCTGAAAACATGACAGGTATACAAAGCAAAGTTTACCTGGCAACTCTAAATGTCTTTCCATTCCATACTTCTCCTCCCCACAACCGTATCTAATTTGAGATCCAGTTGCTTTCAAAGAATCACAATTTCCATCAAAAAACAACCCATTTGGCTGCACTTTCATAATCATGATTCAAATGAGTTAGCCGCACATAGCAGCTCTCTGGCCCTTTTGTCCTTTGAATCAGGGCTCCTGCCTTCTCCAGGTCACAGATCCCTTAGAGATGCTATTATATAATGAAATAAACTTACTGTTTTCTTTAACACTTTGAGAGCATAAGGCTTCTGGGTCCCCTTCTGTTTGCATCTGTATACAATGGATGTAGCACCCCTTGAGGGGGAAAAAGACAAAAAGAAAATGTTATGCTTTGGACAAGAAATTAAGGGGAAAGCTTGAAAATAAGTATGTCTTACAGTTACCCTCATAACTGACAAGTGTTTATAAGTTCTATTATAGGACTGGCCCAACTGTTGAGAGGATTTTTTTCTCATAACTAAAGATAGTGTGCTCAGATTTTCCTGTCTGCTCTTTTTCTCCTAGCTCAACGCTATACAAGTAACCTGCCTAACGCTGTTGCCTTCAGTCATCTCTGGAGAATAGTAAGCCTTATGGCTTCAGGGAGAGGGTTTAATTTCAGCACTAGGCTGTAAGGGTCAGGAAAGTCTCCACTACTTGGCAAGGGTGCTGGGGACTCTTGAGAATTTACACCACTTCATTTGGTTCCCTGGCATTCTCCAAGAACCAATATTAGTCCAATAGAGATACTGGTTCCTTCATCTTGGTGAATACTGCTACCACTTACTCACATGTGCCTAACAAAAATGATTATGTGAAATGTCCAGGAGAAAATCCTATTAAAATAGTCAAAGATATACAGAGAAAAAGTAAATTTATTCCTCTATAAAAAACTTGGAGAAGTAGAGAAAGTTTTTTACTTGTAACGCAGAATGGTAAGAAGAAACTCAATAACTATCTTTATGTATGTGATACATGTGCGAAGTTAATAAAAAGAGAACATTAAAAAGCAGGACTTTGTGGTCTTGATGCTTCCTCTCCAGTCACGAGAGCAAGAGAACAAGACAGAGATAAAAAGAGACGGAGCAGGCTTAAGTACAACCTTAGAGAACTTCAGATAAGTCTTAAAATAAGATCAGTTGAAGTAAATCTGTCATACTTTGAAGATTAGGCCAAAGGACCTCTCATGATACATTCAGTCCAGTGGTTCTGAAATTCTAAGAAAGAACAAAAGAAATATACAAATCAAGCATATTCCTAGCTACCCACGCACATCAAATTTTTAATAGACCCAGCAAAAGTCAGGAACTGGTGGTGTAAATGCTAATAGGTAAGAACAATTTCAACACATTTTTTTTAAACTGTGGTAAGATATAACATATACACAAAGAAATAAAGAGTTGCAATGGAATAAATGGAGGTAAATATAAAATTCTATTTTCTTTATTTATTTTTTTTCTTCTTTCTTTTTTTTTTTTTTTT